ATGAGTGCCAAGGGAAGTGGGTAGTGGAATGGTGACATAAAAAACTGGCCACGACTCAGAGACATTATCATAAAGTTTCCTATTCCTGCCCACAGAGGAAATTCCTGCTGATCTGTCTTAGTAAGGCAATTATCAGTTCCTCATATCTGACCCTACAAAAGGGCAGTTCTCTCAGACCTATCTCTGACATAACACTTTACAGAGCAATTGGTCTAAAAGACACAGCGGAGATAAGAACTGCCCAAGGAGAACAGTATACTCACTGGGCTAGCTTTCTATACTCTCAAGAAGCCTCAATGAGGGGGCACCTGGGTGTCTTAGTAGGTTAAGTGTTCGACCCTTGACTTTGGCTCGGGTCATGATCTCAGGGTCATGGGACTGAACCCCACATCCGGCTGTGTTCAGTGAAGTGTCTGCTTGAGAATCTCTGTCTCCTCTCCCTCTGCCCCTCCCCACATTCATGCTCTCTCCCCATCTCTATAATAAATAAATAAAACTCTAAATAAAGTAAAATAATTTTTGAAAAAAAGAAGAAGAAGAAGCCTCAATGAGGGCTGGGGTATGAAGCAAACAGATTTCAGGTCCTAGCACTTAAGCCACAGGTTTGTAATCCAGCAGCAGGCTTCTGGTGGAATTTAAATTATACACCGCTCTGTGGGGAGCCTGCTTCGCCCTCTTCCTCTCTTTCTCTCTCTGTCCAATAAATAAAAAATAAAATCCTTAAGAAACAACTACCAAACCCTACCCCAAGAGGGAAACCTGGGTGGCTCGGTCGATTAAGCGTCTGCCTTCGGTTCAGGCCATGAGCCCCAGGTCCTGGGATCGAATCCTGCATCAGGCTCCTTGCTCAGCGAGGAGCCTGCTTCTCCCACTGCCTGCCGTTGCCCCTGCTTATGTGTGCGCGCTATCTTTCTGACAAATAAATAAACTCTTAAAAAATATATTAAAAAATAATTTTAAAAAGCTCTACCTCCAGAGCCTCTGATTCCAGATAGCTAGGATGGGGCCCAGGAATGTGTATTTTTTTAAAACGCTGCAAAAGTGTTCTATCTCACTGCTGTCCTGACTCCTCCCCCAAGTCAAGAGACATCCAGCTCAGGCCAATGATCCCTATATAAATGCCCTGGAAATGAATATGCTTTCCCAATACCAAACAGATTAAAGGGTCTCAGTATTAACACCTGGACTCAAACACTGAGCAAAAGCTAAAATTAGATTATTGCCAGTTTTTTCTCTTCCATGAAAATCCCCTACACAAACTCTTCTTAGAGCCTCATATTAAAAGGCTCAAAGCACCACCATACAAACAGACATGAGAAAATTTGGGGGTAAAATGAGAAAGAAAGAGAGAGAGAGAGAAAGAGAGAATGCGTTAAACTCGTACCCATAAAAACTGAGAACTAGAAGAAAGCTACAAGTCATCTCACCCATTGTTTCTGGAGAAATAATAATACATAACCCAGAGTGGACAAATGGCTATTAGGGAGGAGGAGGTTTTCAAAACCTCTTCATTTACTTTTTCAAAATCTAACAACTCTCCAGCACAGGCAATCCTTTTGTATCCCTAACTTACATCGTGCCTGCTCGGCTTCATTCCATTTCTGTCCTTTGTTAAAAGAGAAAAATGACCCAGCTCCCTCCACATAAAAATCTGCCAGAAATTTTAAGAAAAGAGGGGGAGGGCTAGCTACCCAGAGCACACACATTTCTGAGGCTGAAAACACAGCCTCTGCTGAAAGGCAAAACTGACAACTGTACAGAATCTGAAGCTGCAGGGTGTTTACAACTGATAACTTTGAGTTACACTTCATCAGCGCTCAGCAGATCTGGCACTAAAACGTCAAATTACTCTTTTCTAATTCTATCTCACTGCAGAGACTTCCCTCCCTTAGAGAAAGCTTAATACAAATCCCAGCTCTCAATTACCCATTTCTCAATCAAGACTCTTAATGACATTTCTACTTGGCTCTCATTCCAGCTTTTAACCATATTTCAAGCATATTTTTAACTAAGTCTCTCCTGAGTTAAAAAGTCTTTAATGAGCACTATTTTCTGCATATATGCACCCCCTCTTCTCACTTGTGCCCTTCATACCTAACGAGGCTGGCTACATTTTTACTTCTTTTTCAACATTTTCATATTCCTAATTCAATTTTTCTTTAAAGACATCACAAAACTCCTCCTGATCATCTCCCATTCTTCTGAAATTTCAAGTTTATTCCCACTATATCTGACACCATTAAAGTGTTTTCATTCATTTATGCACTTAAGATTTACTGCTCACCTTACACTATACTAAACAGTGTGATGTAAAAGAAATAAATAACATGACTCTTGGCCTTAAGAAATGAAGGCATATATAAAAGAACAGTTAGAGATTGGTTCCAAGGTAGTGGGGCTACTCAGAGAAGTCCTGTGGCTGCAGTAAATATAGAATTGGATGTAAAAGTAAGGGGAGAGGACGCCTGGGTGGTTCAGTTGGTTAAGTGGCTGCCTTCAGCTCAGGTCATGATCCCAGGGTCCTGGGATCGAGTCCCGCACTGGGCTCCTTGCTCATTGGGGAGCCTACTTCTCTCTCTGCGTCTGCCTGCCTCTCTGCCTACTTGTGATCTCTCTGACAAAAAATAAATAAAATCTTTTTTTTTTTTTAAAGTAAGGGGAGAATTTGATAAAAAGGCTGCTTTAGACAGGAGGAATAGTAAGACTCCAAGCAGCAGGCCATCTGAGGTAAAAGCTGCACAAAGGCCCTCTGTCACTTCCTTCTTTGCCCCCCCACCCTAACCTCAAAGGCATATGTCTTTTGGTCGTCAAATTTTATTTCAGCATTAGTTATCCGTGAATCACAAGCTTTCTGATTGTTACCATGATGACCCACAACCACCACATAGTAGAACAGCTCACAAAGCTTTATACACCAGGTCCTATGTGGATTACTACAGGATAGGCTTTTAGAATCATCTTAAGTCAAGAGTTCAATGAGTGTCGGGGGTCGGGCATCTGTAGGGTCCTGGGCACACAAAACCAGCAACTACTTTTGGGTGCTAAAGATAGACACCAGCACTCTTGCTCTGTCAGACTACTCAAGGGTCATTCAACTTCAGCTAAGTATTTCCTTCATTCTCAGCTCTAGGACAAACAAAGCATTTAAAGCAGTCTGAAACACTGAATTTCTATTTGAAAACAGGGATGTTTAATGGTGATGCCAGAGGGATACTCTTTTTCACTGTTTTCCTAGAGAACTTCTCCTCTTCTCTTGTCTCAGGACTCACAGTTCAAGCATCCCCACCTCTGTGAAGTCTTTCTTAATTCCCCTAAACTGACTTAGGTTCCCTCCCATGTGTTGCCCTTAAGACCTTTATGCTTACTTCTAGGACAGCAATTAAACAGACCAAGTTGTAATTATTTGTTTCTATATCTGACTAGCCACAAGCTCTTTGATGGCAAGGATGTTTTATTCGTCACTGATTCCATACATAACAGGCACAGAATAAACATTTGTTGAGTCCTTTAATGATGAGTGATATGGGAAGTTTTAAAGAATGGCGACTGTACCTTCTGAATTCCATTCCAAAATTATAGTAAGTATTAACACTGAAGAATAATCTCCCATTACACATTTCTACTACCTATAGCATTATTGGTCAGAAAAAGAGGCCAAAACATATGAGAAGATTGCTTCAATAGTGGTAGTCATTGTCAAGTTACCAGACAAGAATAACAGAGCTTGCAGTACTAAGAATGATCCAACACAGTAAATGAGCGAAGACAGTCAAATCTAAGTCAGTTTCTAAGTTCCAGGCTCATTCTCCTACTTCTGGAGAATATGAACAGTGAATTCCTATTAGAGTCCTTAGAAAGGTCACCAACTCCACTGCCATGAAAACTTGTGGCTAATTTCAATTCAATATGACCTCTGCTGAAATATACATATGATCACATTGAAGTAAGGGTCTGTTAAAGGACAGAGATCTGAACTAAGCCTTCCCGGAATCCTTCCATGTTGTATATGAGCACTCTAAATTATTCCTCATTGGCCCTACTCATCCTCTGAAGAGATATAGGCAAGGCAATAAAATGCTGCTGTTTCCAATGCCTCTCCCTGTAGCAATCCTGTACTGCACAAGGCTACTGTGTTTATTGGCTGCTAATATGACACAAAGTCTAACCTGATTCTATGGGAACAAAGCCCTAGGTTCCTTCAGGGATTAAATAAATTTGGTCTACGTTTCTAATCCCAAAATTGTGGGGGCTCAACGAAGTTGAAGAAAACATAAGGACCTACACCTAGACAAGTGAGGGGATGAAAAAGGACTGGCCTCTAAGCAACTTCTGGAGTGTTGGGTTGGGAGGTGTGTGTAACAGCGCTAGGCAAAGAATGAGTAAGACAGGCAATGTTCAAGGATAAACCCAGAGAACTGTTTTGCTGGCAGATACCTGGCTCCTTGCATGTTATCATTCCTAGGCAGACAAGAGGCTCCAGTTAAATTAATTTAGGCTGCTTGAAGAGACAAATTTGTTTTGACCCCAGGCAAAAGCACTTAGAAAGCCAATTCCTCAAACTAGGTGTTCTTTCTGCTACTACTGTCTTGCATAACCTCAGCCATGACACTAACACCTGCAGCTACCTTAGTCACAATTTAGCCCTTCACAGGGTATGTGGTCCCACTACTTTATCCAAAATGGGCTGAGTCATCACTTATGAACTGGCTTCCCCAAGCACAGTCTTAGTTTGTAGCGAAGTTACAAGTGAACCCGGCTTGCTTTTCTCTTATTCCTTTTCATGGAGAAATCTCGGCATGCCCACTCCTGCTCCTCTTTTTCCTTTAACCTAAAATGAAATCATTGCTTCCTTGAGGGGCAGAGATGGGCACACTTGATCCTTTAGAGCCAACAGGAACTTTTGGTTCTCCTCTCTCCCAAGAAAAGAGGAAGGCGAAAGAGGAACATGGAAGAGAAGACGGGACGATTGGAAAGGGGAGCCTCCCAATACTAGGACTCACCTTGGAGCTGAGATCCTCCCGCCGGTTTCCTGCCTTACTCCTGCGTAATTTGATGGATGGGGATCGCAGCAGGTTCTTGATTCGGCTGGTAATGGTTGACCCTTCCACAGCCATCATGATGAGGAGCCCCCGGGGACAGATCCTGGCCCAATCTTGGAACTTGTCTCAAAAGCGGCAATGCCTTCCCACTCCACAGGTCCTTCCAGTATGCCCTCCCACTGACCTGAGATGGCAGAGGCCACCTTACCTTCTGCCTAGCCGTGTCTGCAGCTCTTATCTCTAGGCATTACCCTCTCCCTGCTCCTCACACCTGCCTTCAAGCCCTGCGCGGTTTCTTACGTCTGAAGGACAAACCCATGAAAAAGAGGGGGAAAAAAGGCCTGAGCTGCAAAGAAATACCAGGCCCACGCCTGCCAGAGGCATTCAGCCAGAGGGATGGGATTGGCCCTAGCAGGGCTTGTGGTTGGTCTGCTCCCCGTTAATTCCCAACTGTTTCCATGGCAACTGCAGTGTCTAAAGAAGGAGGCCGCCGAGGCCACCGAGGAGTCCGCCCAGGGCTTGGACACCTGAGCTGGCGGCCGCAGGGACACTCAGCGCGGCGGGGTTCGCAGTGGCCCGGCAACCCGTTCTGCCACGGGAGCCTCCCTCCCCCACCCCCGACCCTCGGGAGCTCGCTCTCCGCCCTCAGCAGGGGCCCTGGACCCTACTCTTTCACCTCCCTCAGCAGCCCCAGCAACTCGCCAGCGCCCCCGCTCGGGCTCAGCCTCACCAGCCCCAGGGCGCGGGGGGCACCCCGCTCACAGCGCCCTCAGGCATCGCGCTCGGCGATTTCGGCTCCGCAGCAGCAGCGGCAGCAGCAGCTATGGTGGCACGAGCGGCTCAAAACGCGAACTACCGCCTGGGCCAAGCTACGGGCTGGTGAGGCGGAGCCGAGGCGAGTGGGTGCGGTCTGTAACCAGGAGGGCGTTCTGAGAGTGGACCAGTAAGGCTTATGGGGGCGGAGCCAATGAAAGGGCCTAGGAAGCAGAGATGGGACTCGAAAACTAAGGGTTTCGCACAGTGCAGTCGCGGGGAGCGCTCCTAAAGGAAGGTCACCAGAACATGGCTTCAGAATTGAGAGAACCAGCCTTTTATGGTATTATGAGGCCCGGTCCTCCAGAGAAGTGCTCTTCTCCAGCAAGACGGTAACCACGCCCCCCAGGGTGCAGCGGTTGGCATTTGATAGGCCCGGGGGACCTTAGCCTAAACTAACTCCTAGCTCACGATTACAAGGTTGAGGTACAGCTCCAAGGCTCTGCGCCCATCGACCCCAAGCGCTGGAATTTAAAGCGGTTAGAATCGTTTCTGCTCGCCGCCTCCCCCGGCGCTTTGACCTACGTGAAAGGACTCCCCTAACTCTTTAGATCGGTAACAAGTGTTTTGAACTGGGGGCTACCTGATTGGTCATGATCGAAAAGGGGCAGGAAATGATAGCCATGAACTGAGCTTTAGCTGTGTGAGGTAAGTGAATGCTCCTGAGATGCATTTCTTTTCTTTAGGCTCCAATATCCCACCGCACTCTCTCACCTAGTTGACAAGGGCTTTGTTGATCCAGACTTTTACCGTTTTCTTTCAAAATTTACTGTTTTCCCTAGTATCGTTACTTTGGCGAGGTCACCGTCAAGCTTGCATTCACTAGATTTAGTGGTATAGTTTGAACTTTCTAGCACATTGTGGGGTTGAGGAATGAAGCGCTCGCACAGAAATACTCTTTACATACTACTTCTTTGGTGTCTCAGCCTGTTTGTTTTCTAGAAGCCCTCTGGCGTCATTACTTCAAGATGGCCTATGAAAAGGTTAACATAAGCCAAAAGACTTGGGCCCCAGATGAAGTGTACACTGCTATGTATCTTGTCTCACCCTATCCAAATCTTTTGAACCCCTGGGGGAGATGACGCCTTAGCAAAAGAGGTATGTAATTGGGTGTATTATAGCCATGTATTAAAAACAAGATCTGCAAAGCCCACAAGTTGAAACAAAAATCAGGAAAGTCATCTCCTAGACAACCAACTGGCAATAGCTAGGAGAGGCATGAGGCTTCCTTCTCTTCCACCACACACTGCAGACATAATGGAACATAAAATGGGATTTTCCATTTATTTCTCAAATCTGAGGAAGGAGGCAAGGGTCAGCCAGAGTATTCAATGGAAAGTTGGTTCCTTCAATTCCTTGCCACTATTTTATCTCTACTGGGGGTGGGGGATAGGGGGAGAAGGAAGCAAATGTAACACTAGTAAATGGTGCCACCTGCCGTCCTTGCTTGTGTGCTACATGCCCCAGCAACCACCTCCACCCTCAGTTGTCCCTAAATCTCTCCACATTTTTGTGTCCTCTAGTGGTTTTCTCACATCACTTGTGGCCAAATAGGTTTACAAAGTGTCATTGGTCATTTCCTGTCCAAAGTTAGCCTGGTTTATCCCCTTAGAGAAAATGTTCCCCAAATTACTCTCATCTGAAGTTCTGGAGGCAAATCCAAGCTCCTTTCAGCTCCTTTCATTGTCTAAAAATGATCTGGCTGAAAAACTGAGAACAGTGTAATGAGATATTCTAAGTCTAGAATCTGCGTACTTCCAGTCTAAGGTCAACAAAAACCATGTATTTTTAATTCTTCACCATTTAATCCATTTATTGTCTAGATTACCATGCAGCTTTTCAATATGGGAATAGGCTATAGGCTGTTCCCACGCTTCATGAATTATTTCCTCAGAAAACCGTAATCCTAGGTCTAGTGTGAATAAAAGCGCTATTCCCTTTTCTCCAAACTAATTGCCAACCCACCCTGCAAATGCAGTTGACCCTTATGTAAGTATTTCACCAGCCATACACTATTTCACTTTTTATTCTGCCTGTGTATGTCCTAAACATACATGGTTGTCATATTCTAAAATGTAGATGTCTAGGAATAGATGCATACAATTTTGCACTATGTTCATTAGACCAGATTTTTAAATTCACTCTAGGCTTAACATGCAAAAAGGTACAATTCTAAGATCCTAGAAAACTAATAGGCTGGAGTAAACATTTGCTCATCAGTTCAAATATTTATTGAGCACCTTCACATGCAAGGCACTGTGGGACAGCTGAGATCAATGCTTGCAGCTGGAAACAGGATGGATCTCAAAACAATGCTTCCAAGACTGCTTTCCTATTTAACATAATCTCTTCTAACAGCAGTTTGCAATGATGTAAAAAATTTAGTAGAGCTTAGATTTGTCTCAAAATACCCAACTCATTCCATGGTTCAGCCTTCTCACCCTCCACATACGCCTCCATCACACCATTACTCAATGCTTATGTACCTCTGTAGAGCAGTTAAAGCATACTTAATATACTACAAACATGCCTCAGTTCAGAATTTATATCAAATTATTCCCCTTAGTTTTGAAAATGTATTTATTTTTGACTGATCTTTTTCTCCAAATGGTAGTGAGAGTCTGTGTACCTCAGCTTTAATTTTCTCTGTATCTAGCCATTCGTGTTCATGTAAAATTTCATTAGAGAGAATACAATAACATGAAGATTTGATGCCCTCACAAGCATTTTCTTTGAAATCAACAATTATGTGCAAGAAAGGTATTGAGATTCTTGGTTATCCATCATTCTCCATGAAAGTACCTGAAAAGGTGCTGCCTACTCTACTCTGTGCATTGTTTTTTAATCTGGGTGGGAGGAACAAGGGTTATCACCGTTTTTTCAGACCCATCTTCAAAGTGCATTTACCTCTCTATTCACCTGATCCCATTCAATGATCTTAACCAATATAATTGAGAGAGAGAGAGAGAGAGGGGGAAAAAAAAAAAAAACTACTACTAAACACTGCCCCAAATTATATATGGATTATCTGCTTTTCATCTGTGCTCAAAACATTTTCAAACTTATTACAGAAGGGCCTGCCAGGTATTTCCTTCATAGTTCTAGGGGGAAAAACCCTGAATTTATTATACATTTACCCAAAGTAATTTGCATGAAGTTTATAATACATACTACACAGATTTCATCTGTTATCTTCATCTCAATGTCTGAAGGACCCCTTTAACAAAACTTTTTGTAAATCCTGATACTAGTTAGTAAACATGTACTTTGCTTCAAGAACATTTATTGTCCTTAGCCCCTCAGACTGTCTCCTTATTCTCTAAGGTAACTGGTATACCTTGCACACATTAACATTACGAGGATAGCCTTTCTTCACTCTAACTTCTTGAGACAAACACTTGCCGTCAATTTGTGTAAAATTTTGAAGTCTCCATGTAAAACATGCTACAATTAGCAAAAATCTCCCCCAAACGGCATGTCAGACACTTTGAAAACAGCAAGGAATTCCTATGATAAAACTACTTCAGTGGCACCTCTCTCACAGACTCGGCATTAAATTTCTCTGCTCCAACTCAGCACAAACCTCCCAACAAATCCTGCTTTAATTATTATATCTGATTTATTTCAAGTTTATACATTCTGCCTTCCACTCACCAAACTTGTTCTTACGTTTCTAAAAAAATAAGTCATTTTTCAAAAGCAGAAAAGGAAAGATATATATTTAATATATAAAAGAAAAGGCTAAATCTGACATAATTATATTCTTAAAAACATTCCATTTATTTACAGATGTATAAAAAGGCGAATTATTGGTCTACTGAGATCATGCTTCTTATAGTGTTAGGGTGAGAGCTCACTATCCTCCCAATTCCTCAACTCCTCTCACTCAACTACATCTTCCATAATCATACATGTCATTTTCATAGATCAGTTTCTCCTGGGGTAAGGTTAAAGGGTAGGAGTTTTTGGAGATTTGAGATTTCTGTCAAGACTGCAGGACTATTGTAAAGACCGAGCCCTCCAAATTAGCCCTCACAACTTAGTAGTTCTAAGAGGTCTTGAAAATGCCATTATCTTGGGAGTTTGTAGACATCTGCAGCCTTCCTTAAACAAGTGGAATCATCTCTCATTTCCATCTTTGTACATCTCTCATGTCAACTATCTTCCCATCAAGAACTGATTATTACCTGTTTATCTATTTTCTTCTAAAAAAGGAAACAGTGTTCAGAAGCAGAATGGTCCTTCTTTTCCTGAGGATTATTCAACTCACTTGCCTTCTCCTTGGCTGACCCTCAAAAGCTGTAACAAGAGCCTTGGGAAGTCAGGAGGAAATGTGAGGACGAGACAAGCAAGTTAATAATGGGAAACTGCGATACCTGGATTAAAGTACTAAGATCTCCAAGGACAATTATTAGCAGGGGAGACAGGCGCTGGACTCCTTGGCTAAGGCATTGAATGAAATCTGCTGGGTGAAGAGGAGTGGGAGGGATAATGAGAAGCTGAGGGGCACTCATTACCTACTTTACGCTTCTTTGAGAACCTTTAAAAGAGGGAAGGTTGAATGCTGATAAGCAGGTCTAGAAAGGCAAGTAGCACAAAACCAACAATGAATTTGCTCTCACTGTAATTTGCGGAGGAAATTTTCCATGCTTTTTCAATCTGCTGATTACCAGAGTTACGAGAAAGGGAACCAACCATGTTAGTACTAATTCACTGGCTAGAACCATTCCAAAGCTGGTCTCACAAACTATGTCTGAAGATATGCTGAGTGGGATTTGGCATAAAGAAGGCAAGGGGTGGGGGGATGCAGAAGAAACAGCATCACCTAGGCACAGCCCAGGCACTGGAAGCTCTTGTGTTAGTGTTTCACAACACAAGCAAATCCTGTCAATGAAGACAGAACAGGGGTTACATTCCAAAATATAATTATTTAAGAAAGGCAAAATGCAGCAGCTAAATCCCAATCTATACATTTTCAGAATAGTGATTCTTGCCCCCAGGAGTTTCCAAGAGACCCCTCAAGTGCACCATGATTATTTACAAACTAGATAGGAAACGTCATTTCTATACTCAATACAAATCTCATCTTCTAGGTTGAAAACTTCAGCCTTTGAGAAATCTATGAAAACAACTATACAAAAATATAAATATCTTTATCTTTACAGGCTGTCAGTCCTTCATACCCTGACAGCTAATGAGTGAAAAAGCTCTACAGATCATTGAATCCATGGTAGCAGATAATAAAAAATATATCTCGTGATTCAAATACTGCCTCATTTCCCTGGTAAAGAGTGCCTACTGTGACTTTCCTTTTCTTTA